TGTTCGCTCAAAGAAGAAAGAAAGAAAATTAAAGACAAGTGCATTATCGATGAAACCAAAAGTTTATTTAAATTCAAACCAATTCATGGTTGAAAATCATTTATTGCTTTTGAAATTTTTTCATTATACTATTGAGAAAAATATTCAAAAGTCGCTTTAGTCGCTATAATTTGTTCTGTAATTTTGAAAATGTTAAAAAATAATTTTTTTTAATCTTTAAAAATTATGGAACTTTGTTATAACTTTATGATAGCAATTTATTTTAACTTTATAGAGAAAAAAAATCCTTAAATGGTCTAGTTCTCAACAGAGGTTGAAGTCGATGTTGAATAAGAAAAACGTGGTAAAAAAAAGGGAGTTAGCCAAAGTTTCATTGCATTAGCTTAAGCTATTAATGGGCAAATCCACAAATAAAGGGTCCTGAAATTTTTTACAAAATTTTGACATGAAAATTTGGAACCCAAATTTTTGCTTCAAGTTTTCACTTGGAGTACTGCATTAACAAATAGTTTCATTAATTCTTCATTCCTTAATGTGTTTTAATTATTAGTTAATTATAATAAGATCCAATTCCTATAAAAAATCGGTAATTAATTTTGTAAACAAATGAAATGTGTTTGGCAATAACGAGTTAAAAAATTATTTTAGTAACGTTTTTTAAATTAAGAAAAGCCGAGTTTTATCTTCTGGATACTCATTGTTGTTTCCAATTGTTATATCCTCATTGTTATACATTCTGACTTCTTTTAAAACTCTGCATACCATAATTATCTTAAAAGTCACTCATTAGGTGAAAAATGAAGCATAAAATGAAATAGTGCAAATCTTAGGTAGGTATGCTTTTATTTTCTTAATACAGGAGATAATAATTATTTAAAAAGCCATATTTAACTTAATTAACAACTGATTGTTCATTTAGAATGCTGTTCATAAGAATAAAAAAAAATTATAATGGATCAAAAAAGCTCGTTTTCCAAAATTCCACTCACAAAATTTCATTGAAGTTCAATTTCTTTACTAAGCTTCTACTCGTTACTAAGCTACTAGTGAGCCAGAAAAAGCTACTAGCTTATAATGAAAAAACAGGGTAGGTAAAATCAATTAGATTTTAAATCGAAGTAGGGTAAACCATGTTAAAATTTGTGCAATGTTGAAATTTTAGCGCTCACATAAAAAAGAAATCAGCCCAAATAAGCCATTTAAACCAAAATTTTGTTTGCAGCTCTGTGTAAAACGGTTGTACAAACATTTCTACATCATTTCGAACAGTCTCGAAGCTTGGAGCAGCTTTATATTTGAAAAATTTAAAATCCCATACAAAATTGTGATTTTCATATTTTTAAATATTTAGACATAACTATTGCTGAATATAATCAAATCACAGTTTTAATATAAAATTTGATAATTGCTATACGGTTTCAAAAGAAATTCAAGTTATAAAAATCATTGGAAGTGCTTTAAAAATTGATTTTATAATTTCTTGATTGTAAACAGTGTTGCATTCTGGCCATTTGTCTGGATCAGATAAATTCTGAGACAAAAATTTCTTCATAAAGATCGATTCTATATGAAGATAGAAAATCTAATCTACACAAAGATTATTTCTACATAAAGAATCTGTCTACATAAAGATTCGATGTAGATGTCTACAAATTAGGGTTTCTGAAAAACGGCATTTTCGAAAACGGCCTTTTTCCGTTTTTTATTTTCAATAACGGCCGTTAACGGTCCGTTTTAAGTTTTTTAAATAACCAAATATAAATGAAATATTCCTCAAAAGATAAAGAATTGCTGTGCTATATGGGCAATTCCACCGATTGATTTTTCCAAAATATTCATCTTTGAATCGAATTTTTTCTTAATTAGAGAACTTTGCAGCTGCAATTTTTTCACAAACTTATGTAAAACGACGAGCTCTTTCATTCTATCTAACTTACGCATCTTGTCATGCCTTAATTAATGAAATATTTGGATTTTTGTGAGCGTTGGTATATTACACAATGTTGAATTCTGAATATGAAAGCAGAAATTTACCACTTTAAAGACATCTAGACAACTATTAATGTTGTCTTTATTGTCAACCGTTCTTTCTATCCTCTTCTATGATTCTGCATACTTAAATTGACTTGAAAGACACTCAATAGACAGAAAAATGAATAATTTTAATGCAATTAATGTAATATACCAACGCTTAAGCCAAATCCGTGAGGAAATAATTTTTAAAGAACCAAACCTTGTTTTTAAAAGTTTAATAGTCAATGAAGATCTTTAACTCGTTTTAAAAAGTGTAAGCTTAATTAAAGTTTATTTTTGAAGCAATCAAATTTTTAAAGAACATGGATCAAAAATTTATTTTTTTCGAAATTCAACTCATCCGTGGAATTGCCAATATAGATAATATGTAGATTTCTATTTATATTTATTATAACTGTTTATTCATTTTATTTTAATAAAACTTAAGAAAATGGATAGATCATGCTCAGCATATGTTTAAACATTTAAGGTTTGACGGATAGGCCAAATATTCTAAATTTATTTTATTCATTGTTTTCTTTGCAGAAGTTGTGAAATTTTAGCTGGAAATTTTTCTTGTTATACCATTATCAGCTTTATTCCCTTACAAAATTCAAAAAACTGATTTTTCAATCTAAACAAAAACAATAAATTCACACGTAAATCGGTGTGAATATAAAAAGAATTTTTAAATAACCAAATATAAATGAAATATTCCTCAAAAGATAAAGAATTGCTGTGCTATATGGGCAATTCCACCGATTGATTTTTCCAAAATATTCATCTTTGAATCGAATTTTTTCTTAATTAGAGAACTTTGCAGCTGCAATTTTTTCACAAACTTATGTAAAACGACGAGCTCTTTCATTCTATCTAACTTACGCATCTTGTCATGCCTTAATTAATGAAATATTTGGATTTTTGTGAGCGTTGGTATATTACACAATGTTGAATTCTGAATATGAAAGCAGAAATTTACCACTTTAAAGACATCTAGACAACTATTAATGTTGTCTTTATTGTCAACCGTTCTTTCTATCCTCTTCTATGATTCTGCATACTTAAATTGACTTGAAAGACACTCAATAGACAGAAAAATGAATAATTTTAATGCAATTAATGTAATATACCAACGCTTAAGCCAAATCCGTGAGGAAATAATTTTTAAAGAACCAAACCTTGTTTTTAAAAGTTTAATAGTCAATGAAGATCTTTAACTCGTTTTAAAAAGTGTAAGCTTAATTAAAGTTTATTTTTGAAGCAATCAAATTTTTAAAGAACATGGATCAAAAATTTATTTTTTTCGAAATTCAACTCATCCGTGGAATTGCCAATATAGATAATATGTAGATTTCTATTTATATTTATTATAACTGTTTATTCATTTTATTTTAATAAAACTTAAGAAAAACAAGAACATTTAGTGATGCATCAGCCAGCCTTGAACGAATCTTTGTGCAAAAATTATTGCAGATTGAAAATATTCGCTCTACATCTGTATATGTCGACTTAATACACAACAAAGCATCATAAAGTTTTTGAAGATTTTCCGATCGATTTCCTGTATTTTTCATAAAAATTGATAAAAATCAAATATGAAAAATCCGTTGTAAATTCTTGAGTCCAGATTTTGATTTGTTGTATCTAAACAACAAACCAGAGGGCGAAGTCGACTCGGATTTTGTATGGAAAAGTCGACTTGTGTTCACTCGACTTCATACAAATTTCGAGTCGACTTCGCCCTCTGCAACAAACAAAACTGGAGTCGCAACTATGATTACATTTCTGATTCTAATATACTACTTGAAATGAGATTTTCAAACTTTCCAGGCAATCCATAATAATAAATCTCAATTGCAGAAACTTTTAACTGTTTTTGAGAATAATTTTTAAAGAAAATAAACAAAAAAATTTTTAAAAATTACATTGTATGAACTATGAGAAAACGGAAAAACGGAATGAAAAACGGTCGTTTTCCGTTTTCAATTTTTGTACCGTTAACGGCCGTTTTCCGTTTTTCGTTAACGGCTTCAGAAACCCTATCTACAATTCTTCATTCTTCTCTGATGTAGACCTGGAAAAAATGTAGAATTGTAGACATCTACTTCGAATCTTTATGTAGACAGAATCTTTATGTAGAAATAATCTTTGTGTAGATTAGATTTTCTATCTTCATGTAGAATCGATCTTTATGAAGAAAGTTTCTTAGCTAGACAAAAACTATTGAAGAATCTGCATTCTTCATCTAGTGTAGACATCTACATTTGCAACACTGATTGTAAATGTCAAAATTTGTGCGAAATTTTTTTACAAATTTTGAAAAAAAAAATGCAAAAGACTTCAAGAATATCCATACATTCAAAAATTATATCCTGTTTGGTGTTTAATTTCAGATCTTTAAATAAAAACATTTTGATTTCCTAATTCTCATCTTTTTATTGTTAAAACTCTATGCTGCATAAAATTTACAAAAAAAAATGATAGAATTGCTGATTTAATGGATGTTCTTTTGACGGTTGTAAACTCACCCAGCTCAAACTGAGTTAAATCTTGAATCTTGCATTATTTCTTGAGGAAAAGGTTTGAAACAAATCAGCTTTATGTTCTTAATTTCATTTAAAGTTTATTCAAATATTCCAAATTCCTTCAGCAAAATATCAATTACTGCTTCAAAAATATGTAAATAAAATGTTTGTTTACATTTAAGAATTGCAATTATGTCAAAGGTTGCTATTAATAAAACGCACAAATTTCAACATTTTTTTGCTCAAATTTTAAAATTTTCCGCACAAATTTCAACATTTGATCGAAAATGTCAAAAATCTCTTCCCGTAAGCAGCATATCCTTCAAAAAACATTATTAACTGAAAATTCCCACAATTATTGATCTTTTGAGCCCATAAGCAAATTTTCATCATCAGTCATTAGCAAGTTATTTGCAAATCAAATCTCCATGTGCAAAAACAAACAAATTTCAACATGGTTTACCCTAAATGCTATAAAACGGTTTTTTTATTTCAAATTAATTTCCCATTCATTTTTAGAACTAGCAATTTAGTACAAGAATCTTAAGCTATTTTTCTGCAGAGAAAAGATATACATTTTAGTCTTTATTGTAATTTTGAGGAAGGATCACAACACATATACATTGTAAAATGAGTGAATTGAAAAGCGAAATTGATGAAATGGAAAAGACTAACTATTCAATGAATAGTAACATCGATCCAAAAAATAATGAGGAACTAATAATCTACGTAAGTTTTGGCAAAATTTTATAAATATGCATATCATTTGAAACAATAACTATATTTTAGGTGCAAAACTTACTCCAAAATGTACAAGATAAGTTCCAGTGCATGAGTGAACAAATCATCGGAAGAATAGATGAAATGGGAAATCGAATTGACGATTTAGAGAAAAGTATCAGTGATTTAATGCAGCAAGCTGGTGTATCTGAGCAAAATATTGACAAGTAAGTAACCGATGACTCAAATAAAATGTATCCATAATAATTTTTTAAGATATTATCAATATTAACTATGATAATTTAACTATATATAGCGATACCAGTGTTGGAATCAACAGCAATTACTTTTAAATAATTTTTGACCATAATCTTTTTTTAACTGTCCTGAAACCTAATTTTAAATACTTTTTCATTCATCCTCTTTCATGTGTTTTGTTTGTTTTTTTTTTTTATGTTTTCGTTTCCTTCGTTATAATTTCAAGGAATCAAGGCTAATTATCAACAACAAGATCAAAGCTGAAAGTGCAAAACGATTAATCGACAATATATGCACAGTTAAAATTAATAATCTTTATTTATATAAATAATAATTACTAAAATTAAAATTCTTCCTATTCTGTATTTTTAAGTTCATGGATGATTCAATAAAACATAAATCACTTTATATGTACAACATTAAAAAGAGTTTAATCCTTGTATCTAGAAAAATTACAATATTTGATCAATTGGGCCTAGTTTCCATAGATATATGAACTCATTTTTTTCATCGCACGAAAAAATTTCAAACAAAATTAGTTTTGTGGAATATTTTTAACATTTTCGGTATCAGTTGGTTCCATATCGCTAGAATCGTCAATGTCAGTATCATCTGTGGTGCTTGCTTTTTCCACCTAAATTAATCAATATGTTAAAAATAATAATATCTATAGATTTTTTTAAGCATTACTGTAGACAAATCAGGTGTAAAATGTTTCCGACTATTAGCATTTTTTGACTCTAAATTATTCAGAGACATTAGGCTCTTTGAAGCATTTATTTTCTTATGTTTATTTTCATCTTTTCCTATCATATCAATATTAGACGATGAATGCGAGAAACGGGATAGAGCTCGCATAAAAGGAGTTTTAAAGCGATGCAAAGAATCTTGTTCGACGTGTTTTTTAAATAGCTAAAATAAAATAATATTTAAAGATTAACAAATTATAATATAGGTACTTTAATTTTAAAAATAATACCTTGTTAAAGCCTTTCATTTCAAAAATGAATTGCTTTAAAAAATTAAAAAAAATATTTAATAGGTTTGTCTAATAAGTTTTCTCAACAAACCTCAGAACGTTCATCAATGTTTGAAATATCCACAAATGCAGATGTTAAGATTTCTATTCCCGATGCAAAATATTTCATTTCAATTAAGATAAAGTTTAAAAAAAATTGTTTGAAATCATCAAATTTTTGGACTTCAAATTTTTCAGATATTGATAAAATTTCCTTCAACACTTTGGATACTTGAATATTTGATAGCATTGCTTCGTTTTCAGTCAAAATATTTTTCTTTGATTTTTTATTGAAATTAATCTGACTTCTTTTGTTTAATTCAAAGTCTCTTAAAGCAATTAAAGTTTTAGCATCGTCACGTGTTTTTTTACAAATCGTTTCACTTTGCATCAAATCAGGCAACAATCTTTCTTCAAATCTCGCAATCTTGATAGTTTTAATATCTGCCAAATGAACCATTGTATTACACATGTTCTCAAACATTTTTCCAAATGATTCATCAAAATTTTCGTTTGAAGAAATAAATTTAAATTTATTAGCTATTTCGTCAATTTTATTGCAAATTTTATTTTCTTTTTTTAACATTTTTTCAAAACTCTCATTAATCAACCCAATATTTCTCTCCGTATGATTAATCCTGCTAAATATTAGCTTTGATTGTGCCTCTGAAAAATCTTGAATATTACTCATGATGACTATTACTTATGCCAATATAAACTGTGTACATTAATTATGAAACCATGGTAACACATGTCTTGTACGCAACATTAAAGAGTATTTTAAAAGTCATTTAAAACGTGATTTTAACGACTTTATTCAAAAATGTGATATGAAATAAACGGTTAAGGTTATAGAACTAAATTCGATTATTGGTTAGTTTCAAAACAAATCATTTGATAAATAAGTGAAATGCTTAAATTAATTAACATAGGCAAATTAGTTCTCAGAAATGAGTTAAACATTCAGAACTCATGTTTAAGTGCATCATTGATTCATACATCTGCTATGCTGGAGAAAATTGCCAATTCTCATAACAGGTCCAGCTTGAAAAAATGGACTGAGAATAATAAAGTTGTTTTTGAGCCTCAAAATCACGATGAAGAGAAGAGACCAGCAGTAAATATTCCAGCTGCCCTCAAAAATATTGATTGAAACCATTATTTATATAAATTCTTATTTTCTAGTTCATTTGTCATCAAAAATTAAATATCAAATACAGTCCGAAAAAAATGTATTATATCGCCAGCTTTGTGAGAGGAATGTCTGTAGATGAAGCTATAAAAGAATTAAAATTTGTACTTAAAAAAGGCAGCTCAGCTGTTTTAGAAACTCTTTTGGAAGCACAAGAAATGGCAGTTAAAGAGCACAATGTTGAATTCAAGAGCAACTTATGGATATGTGAGTGGGAGATTAAAATGAGGCAACATAATTAAAATATGCTTTTTTATCTTCTTAATTTTAGCTGAATCATTTTGCGGAAAAGGTCAATACTTCAAAGGGATCAGAAGACATGCTAAAGGCAGAGTTGGAAGAGTAGAATATAAGCATTGTCATTATTTTGTAAAACTTGAAGAAGGTAAAGCACCTAAACAATATTATGTACCTTATCCAAAAACTCCGGAGGAGCAACTCGAAGAATGGATAGAAGGAATGCGTAAAAGAAAAATAACAAATTCTCTATAAAAATCAAATACTTATTCTTTATTAGATTAAATAAACTAGTTATTATCACTAAATTCTGACTCGGTTGATATTCCATCTATTATATTTTTTATTGGAACATTTTTGAATAATTCACTTTGAATGGTGCTGTGAAGTTTAACTCCCAAAAGAAATGCTATATTTGATTTTTTAACAGTTTTTGGACTATTTGACTCATGTGCAGCTATATGTTTTTGAAGTCTGTGATTTGAAGATAAACTAATTTTACAAATGTTACATGAAAACTTTTTTCCTTCATGCTTTGATCGAATATGAGCAGTCAAATTTCGTTTTGCATTATAAAATTTTGAACAATTTTGATAGTTACATGAATATACAGGTTCAGTAGAAATATGAATTTTCATATGCTCTCTAATATTTGGTTTTCTATTAAATATCTTTCCACAAATATCACATTCAAAATGATTGTTTTTATTAATTTTATGCACTTGTCGACGATGAACCACTAGTTGAGACCAATTTTCAAAATTCACATGACACTCAGTGCATTCTTTTATATCGTGTACTTTAATGTGTTTCAAGTACGAATACTTGTTAAAATATCCATTTTCACATTTTTCACACTTATAAGAATAATTGCCAATATCGTGATTCTTCTTCATATGCCTTCTTAGCTGATCTTTTCGACGGAAGGGTGACATACATTGATCACATATGTATTCCATGACGTTTAAATGATTCTTCTTATAGTGTCTATTCAAGTTGCTGTAGTTTGTGAATCCTTGAAAACAATCAGTATATTCACAGACATATGAGCAAATTTGTGGCTTGTTTAAGTGACAATTTTTCACATGTCGCTTCAGATGAGATGCATTTGTAAAGGCCTTGTCGCAATTCTCATATTCGCATTTGAACGCTCTCTAAAATATTAAACAATGTATATTTTTTTAAAAAACAGCTACCGTAGTTATTTACGTTAGAAGTTACTCCAATTGCTTGTTAAAGAAAATTATTTAACCCGAAGCTTTTTCCTTTCCGTTACTAAGCTAATAAAAAAAATCCTTTACTTATTCTGATCAATTGTGATCCATAGGTAAAAATTGTAAATTGTAACAAAATGTAACATAGGGGGGGGGGGGGGGGGGTGTCAAGAAGAATGTAACGTTCTTACTGTCGTCTGTCTTAAAAAAAGTTCACGAAAAAAATTTGAATTATGAACGTTCAAGAGGGGGGGGGGGGGGGTTGCGAGTTGTAACATGTTGTAACAAGCGGGGAGGGGTGAAAAAAAGTCGGTTTTTTGCGAAACGTAATAAGTGAACGGCCCCTAATGAGAGTTTAACGAGTATGCGCCAGACCACTGCACTCAAACCTAGAGTCCTACAGTTTATAGTGGGATCCGAACCACTCATTTGATGGTATTGCTGCCTGCAGCCTACAAAGAATGGCTGTGAGCTTAATTTCCAGTACAAATGATTCGAAAAAGGACAAATAAAAAATTTCCCATACCCAGTCTCGAACTCATGATCGCTGTGTCGGTATTGCTACCGAGCCACTTCAGCTCACTAAGCTAATACCATTTTTCATTAATTAAACAACACAAATTAACTTAAATAAGGTTAAATGGTATGAATCAACAGCTAGAATAGTTCCAAGATAGTTAAATTTGAAAAAAATTAGATTTCAAAGAAAATTATTGATTTTTCTTGTTGGTTGACATTTTTTTAACAAGCCACTACCCATTATAAAACCTTTTTCGCGATTTAGAAAACTTTTCCATCCCATAAGTCACTGGCTAATAACGTAAAAATTGGGCAATGATTTTTATACTTACTATTCCAGTATGACTAAAATAATGCCTATCAAGTCGGTCCATTCTACCGAAACTCATCTCGCAGATTGTGCAGCTATATTTACCTTTACTTTCAGTAGCTTCTCCACTCATTTTAATAAACTAAATGTTCCTTTTTTTATTGTTTATTAATGTTTTGATTCAAATCTAACATGATGTTCTAAAATCAAGTACGAAACTCACCATCTTACCATCTTTTCTCAATATAAGCCTCTAGACGTTAATTATCAGGTGAGTTTAGTAGTTTGATCTTTAAAACTTTTTTTTTTATCTTTATAGTTTACATCAAAACTAGATATTTGTAATGGCTTCAAATTATATATAATTTCAAACTTCAAACTAAGTTTGTTTTGCTATTTTACTAAGCCCAAAAATTACTTTTTACTGCTACTAGCCTCAGGCTTATAACGAGACAATTATATCTTTGACACTTAGTCTAGGGCTCTTTCACTTCCGAATTTATAAAGCAGACTTTAAGACAAAATAGAGTCAAATTGGGATAGAAACATCTTACAAAAGTGATAAAATCGTTTTTTTTTTCAGTTAAAATAAAAAAAAATTCAATAAAATAAAAAAATGGACACAAGAAATTGTGATATTTTTAAGCACTTTGAAAAAGAGGAATATGAATTAAATCTATTTGGGTTTGCAATCAAAGACTTTAAGTTTGAAAGTAAGTAAAGACATTAAAAAACGGTTTATTTTAAAAGGATTAGTTTATGTTTTAAACATTTTAGATTTGGAGTTTTTTTGGAAGAAGCAAGTTAATAAATCTATGCAGACAATAAGTAAAAGATTTATGGACTTAATGAATAAAGGAAAACTAGAGGCAGTTGAGAATGTTAAAAGCTCTATTAATCAAATAGAGCAATTTATAATAAAATCAACAGAATCAAACATACAGCATATCGTAAATATGGAAGTTGAAAAAGCATTAAACATCCCAGAAAATGTAATTTTACCAACGGATAGAGCTCAATTAAAATTGGATCCATATGAAGAGATTTATGATTTGGAACAAGAATGCGATAATTTAGGCAACATTTTAATACAAAATGCGATATTTTTAAAGCATTTAAATAATGAATTGAATTCATATGAATTAGACTGGTTAGATAAAGAAGACCAAATTTGTTTGCGAGGACAACACTTTTTAAATATACAACTTTTTGATACCGATTTTTTAAATCGCTATCTTATCCCTAAGAATAGCAAATAATATGTACTCATATTAGAAGAGGTTCATTAATAAAAGTCACTTTTTGTAACGGATATTTTTTGATTTTTTATTTGTAAAAAATGGAGAAGCTAGTAAAAAGGTGACCGAAGCGCATTTTCCCTGCATAAAATAGAAAGGAAAATTCAAAATCTTAAAACAATTGAAAATAATGATCTATTAGAGGTATTTAAATAATAGCTAATTTACGTTTTATGTAGATTTTCATCCCCTGGAAACCAAAATGGTGTCAGTTCCTTTAGCAACAGCCACTGAACCTTCAATGAGGCCGTGCAGTTATTACGTTCGCATTTTAGGGGGGAGGGGGGGTTTGAAAAATTGTAACAAAATGTAACATAGGGGGGGGGGGGGGTGTCAAGAAGTAGGTAACGTTCTAAAGTTCAGTAAAAAAAGTTCACGAAAAAAATTTGTTTACAAATTCACACCAAAAACATTTTTTAAATTTTCCACCATTTTAATGATTTATGAATGTCCAGATCACTTTTGATAGCTAAGCAATACATAGTTTTTGTTATAAATGTTTTTAATAACTACATATAAAAAATTATCAAAATAAAATAAATTTTGAACGTTCAGGGGGAGGGGGGGGGTGTAAGTTGTAACATATTGTAACAAGGGGGGAGGGGGGTGAAAAAAGTCGGTTTTTTGCGTAACGTAATAAGTAAACGGCCCCCATGCCAAAATTCAAAAAGTCAAAACTGGTAAAAACTTGCAAAAGTCAAAAAGTTTATAAATAAAATAAAGTTAAATTTGTATTAAACTACGCAAAATAGACGTACGTAAAGCGTAAGGAAAATGTTGGACAAAGTTAATTTAATTAATCTTCCTATGCTAGCCAGAGTCAGCACACATATTAAAAGTGAAAGACCGCATCAAAAAAGGTTTAACTGTAGAAAAAGATATCATAACAGACGGACGAAGTGCAGACAGTAGCATCATTTCCTGATTCGAAAACACGTTATAAAAAAGCTTTAGTACACAAACATCGTGCTATCAAGTGCATCCTTTTTGCATATAATTAATAATCTTTCATATAAAATGAACCCGGAAAAGTTGAAAAAATTGCAGGCTCAAGCTGCAGAAATAAGAATTGGCGGAAAAGGTAGAGGATATAAAGATAGCAATTTAAATACAGAAAATATAAAAGAGCACATGAATTTGTGATGAAACAGAAGAAAAATAATTACAATATTAATAATTTTTTTAATGATTGATTGGACTAATTAAGGAATGCCAAGACGAAAGAAAAAGATTGTACATACGAGTGCTGTAACTGATGATAAGAAGCTCCAATCAACACTGAAGAAATTGGCTGTAAATAATATTAATGGAATTGAGGAAGTTAATTTAATTAAGAATGATGGTTCTGTGATTCATTTCAATAATCCCCGTACTCAAGCCTCTCTCCAGTCAAATGTCTTTGCAATTACGGGACATGGAGAGATTAAGAATGTATGTTTCCCGGCTTTTTTCATCAAGGTTATGTTTTGTTGACATTAGTTGTTTTTTTTTTTTCACTCTTATAGATCGCTGAAATGTTGCCTGGAATAATGAATCATTTAGGATCCGATGGATTAGCACAATTAAAACGACTTGCAACTGCTACGATGGCTTCAAAACAAGGTTTATCTAACGAGGATAATGATATTCCAGAATTGATTGAGACTTTTGAATATGCAATGAACAGTGTAGATCAGAAAAAGTCTGAAGAAATAACTGAAACACCCAGAGAAGTCGTTGATTAAAAATCTGCCATCAATCGTAGCCTTAAAGATACTGTCATATTAAGGCCCAAATCATCCATTTTCCTCACTTTGAAATTAATTAGAATTAATCTTGAATATACTTTTATTTTAATTAAATCTCATAAAAGTTTGTTTTATGGGAAAAAAGAAGAAAAGATTGGCAAAAATATTTTTTTTTCTCTCTTCTATATCGTTGCTATATCTACAAATAAACATTGCATTTTGAAATACTAGATATTTTTTACTTTTAATAACTAGTAATTTTATATATCATAGGTAAACAAAAGTTAAAACAATAACGCCTTAAAATAATTTCAAAAATAAAAAACACGACTTACGTAGAAAGCCACGAACTTCCACGCTTGGTAAACGAAAGATAACAGAATTGAAAATTTACAAGTCAAGCTTCAGGAAAACATTAAATTTGGGAAATAATGGTAATTTTGGTGAGTGAAGCATTAATTAAAATTTTGAATTAAGTACCTAGCAAATGAAGACATGAATGGTTTCTACATAAAAATGTAATTACTGCTTATCTTTTTTTCTTTAAAATTTGACATAACTTGCTTATAAAACTAGTGTATCGGGTAGAAACCCAATGCGGATATATTCACACCGTACCATCAAAAGTCTTATGGATAGACCAAGATTTGCTCAGCATAAGTTTGAAGGGTGGGCGTGAAGTACGGCCGAGACCCATATCGACACAGTTCAAAAGTTATACCTAATTTATGTCATAATTATGTCAGCTACAAAAACAATTAGTTTGAATTTTGTCACCCTCGAGAACACTATGAACCAGTATAGCTGATTTTGGTCCAAATCTCGGCCACACTTCACACTTATTTGAACCACATTTTCTCGTAAATGTAAAAATATTATTAAAAAGTAATTAATCCTGAATTATGTCGCTATTTTGTCAAGTGTTTTAAGATAAAGAATTTGTTTTTTGGTTTCCACAGTGAAGAGTATGAACAAAATTCAGATGGGGTAGTCGAAATTTTAGATTTCGATTTTTTTTAAGCTATGCATTACAAAAAGTAATATTGGTATGTGATTTATGTATCTAGTCAAAATCTCGTTTTTCACTTTTTTCCCTTCGAGGATAAATCAAAATACAGTAAAACTTTGTATGAGCATTCTAATCCTCCGGTCACACATTTCTGAATTAATAAAAATCATTTTTTTGGAAAAATTTTAAGTCACGTTGTTTTTATATGTAGAACCAAATTTATAAAATTTGGGTCTGACGACATATAGAATACATTTCTTGCTTTAGATATTTAAAACTGTTTTGTATAAATATTAGTATACTAACACAAAGTTTCACTGTAATTGGATAAACCTTCGAAGAAAAAAGTGACAAAATTGATTTTGACTAGGGTAGCCCCTAGTCCAAAATTGAAAATGTATTTCCATCTTGGTTCTTTGCTCAAAAAAAAATTTTGGATGTTTTATTTGTATTTGTTTGAAGCACTAGAATATTTATGCATAGTTTCAATCCATTTTTATAAACCCTCGAAGAAAAAAGTGACAAAATTGATTTTGACCAAATTTTGACTATGGTCGCCACTAGTCCAAAATTGAAAATGTATTTCCTACTTGGTTCTTTGCTCAAAAAAATTTTAGGATGTTTTATTTGTATTTGTTTTAAGCACAAGAATATTTATGCGAAGTTTCAATCCATTTGGATAAACCCTCGAAGAAAAAAAGTGAGAAAATTGATTTTGACTAGGGTCGCCCCTAGTCCAAAATTGAAAATGTATTTCCATCTTGGTTCTTTGCTCAAAAAAAAATTTTGGATGTTTTATTTGTATTTGTTTTAAGCACTCGAATATTTATGCAAAGTTTCAATCCATTTGGATAAACCCTCGAAGAAAAAAGTGACAAAATTGATTTTGACTAGGGTCGCCCCTTGTCCAAAATTGAAAATGTATTTCCTACTTGGTTCTTTGCTCAAAAAAATTTTAGGATGTTTTATTTGTATTTGTTTTGAACACTAGAATATTTATGCATAGTTTCAATCCATATGGAAAAACCCTCGAAGAAAAAAGTGACAAAATTGATTTTGACTAGGGTCGCCCCTAGTCCAAAATTGAAAATGTATTTCCTACTTGGTTCTTTGCTCAAAAAAATTTTAGGATGTTCTATTTGTATTTGTTTTAAGCACTAGAATATTTATGCATAGTTTCAATCCATTTGTATAAACCCTCAAAGAAAAAAAGTGACAAAATTGATTTTGACTAGGGTCGCCCCTAGTCCAAAATTGAAAATGTATTTCCTACTTGGTTCTTTGCTCAAAAAAATTTTAGGATGTTTTATTTGTATTTGTTTTAAGCACTCGAATATTTATGCAAAGTTTCAATCCATTTGGATAAACCCTCGAAGAAAAAAGTGACAAAATTGATTTTGACTAGGGTCGCCCCTAGTCCAAAATTGAAAATGTATTTCCTACTTGGTTCTTTGCTCAAAAAATTTTTAGAATGTTTTATTTGTATTTGTTTTAAGCACTAGAATATTTATGCAAAGTTTCAATCCATTTGGATAAACCCTCGAAGAAAAAAAGTGACAAAATTGATTTTGACTAGGGTCGCCCCTAGTCCAAAATTGAAAATGTATTTCCTACTTGGTTCTTTGCTCAAAAAAATTTTAGGATGTTCTATTTGTATTTGTTTTAAGCACTAGAATATTTATGCATAGTTTCAATCCATTTGTATAAACCCTCAAAGAAAAAAAGTGACAAAATTGATTTTGACTAGGGTCGCCCCTAGTCCAAAATTGAAAATGTATTTCCTACTTGGTTCTTTGCTCAAAAAAATTTTAGGATGTTTTATTTGTATTTGTTTTAAGCACTCGAATATTTATGCAAAGTTTCAATCCATTTGGATAAACCCTCGAAGAAAAAAGTGACAAAATTGATTTTGACTAGGGTCGCCCCTAGTCCAAAATTGAAAATGTATTTCCTACTTGGTTCTTTGCTCAAAAAAATTTTAGAATGTTTTATTTGTATTTGTTTTAAGCACTAGAATATTTATGCAAAGTTTCAATCCATTTGGATAAACCCTCGAAGAAAAAAAGTGACAAAATTGATTTTGACTAGGGTCGCCCCTAGTCCAAAATTGAAAATGTATTTCCTACTTGGTTCTTTGCTCAAAAAAATTTAGGATGTTTTATTTGTATTTGTTTTAAGCATTAGAATATTTATGCAAAGTTTCAATCCATATGGAAAAACCCTCGAAGAAAAAAGTGACAAAATTGATTTTGACTAGGGTCGCCCCTTGTCCAAAATTGAAAATGTATTTCCTACTTGATTCTTTGCTCAAAAAAATTTTAGGATGTTTTATTTGTATTTGTTTTAAGCACTAGAATATTTATGCAAAGTTTCAATCCATTTGGATAAACCCTCGAAGAAAAAAGTGACAAAATTGATTTTGACTAGGGTCGCCCCTAGTCCAAAATTGAAAATGTATTTCCTACTTGGTTCTTTGCTCAAAAAAATTTTAGGATGTTTTATTTGTATTTGTTTTAAGCACTAGAATATTTATGCAAAGTTTCAATCCATTTGGATAAACCCTCGAAGAAAAAAGTGACAAAATTGATTTTGACTAGGGTCGCCCCTAGTCCAAAATTGAAAATGTATTTCCTACTTGGTTCTTTGCTTAAAAATATTTTAGGATGTTTTATTTGTATTTGTTTTAAGCACTAGAATATTTATGCATAGTTTCAATCCATTTGTATAAACCCTCAAAGAAAAAAAGTGACAAAATTGATTTTGATTAGGGTCGCCCCTAGTAGGGTTTGGGGAATCTGTTAACAGAAAACAGAAAAACAGCTGTTTTTCGACAAAAATCTGTTAACAGAAAACAGGTCTCAAAAACAGATCTGTTTTCTGTTTTTCATTTTTACATAAAATTTACAGAAAAAAAAATTTATTAATTTTTTGAAGAACTTAATATATTTTTCTAGCATTTCAAATTGAAATGTATTTACTATGTACTTTAATATTTTTTGGATGTTTAATAGGTTTGAAATCATTATCAAATTTATGGTTAATCATTATTAATTTTTATTTATGCATAGTTTCAATCCATATGGAAAAACCCTCGAAGAAAAAAGTGACAAAATTGATTTTGACTAGGGTCGCCCCTAGTCCAAAATTGAAAATGTATTTCCTACTTGGTTCTTTGCTCAAAAAAATTTTAGGATGTTCTATTTGTATTTGTTTTAAGCACTAGAATATTTATGCATAGTTTCAATCCATTTGTATAAACCCTCAAAGAAAAAAAGTGACAAAATTGATTTTGACTAGGGTCGCCCCTAGTCCAAAATTGAAAATGTATTTCCTACTTGGTTCTTTGCTCAAAAAAATTTTAGGATGTTTTATTTGTATTTGTTTTAAGCACTCGAATATTTATGCAAAGTTTCAATCCATTTGGATAAACCCTCGAAGAAAAAAGTGACAAAATTGATTTTGACTAGGGTCGCCCCTAGTCCAAAATTGAAAATGTATTTCCTACTTGGTTCTTTGCTCAAAAAATTTTTAGAATGTTTTATTTGTATTTGTTTTAAGCACTAGAATATTTATGCAAAGTTTCAATCCATTTGGATAAACCCTCGAAGAAAAAAAGTGACAAAATTGATTTTGACTAGGGTCGCCCCTAGTCCAAAATTGAAAATGTATTTCCTACTTGGTTCTTTGCTCAAAAAAATTTTAGGATGTTCTATTTGTATTTGTTTTAAGCACTAGAATATTTATGCATAGTTTCAATCCATTTGTATAAACCCTCAAAGAAAAAAAGTGACAAAATTGATTTTGACTAGGGTCGCCCCTAGTCCAAAATTGAAAATGTATTTCCTACTTGGTTCTTTGCTCAAAAAAATTTTAGGATGTTTTATTTGTGTTTGTTTTAAGTACTCGAATATTTATGCAAAGTTTCAATCCATTTGGATAAACCCTCGAAGAAAAAAGTGACAAAATTGATTTTGACTAGGGTCGCCCCTAGTCCAAAATTGAAAATGTATTTCCTACTTGGTTCTTTGCTCAAAAAAATTTTAGAATGTTTTATTTGTATTTGTTTTAAGCACTAGAATATTTATGCAAAGTTTCAATCCATTTGGATAAACCCTCGAAGAAAAAAAGTGACAAAATTGATTTTGACTAGGGTCGCCCCTAGTCCAAAATTGAAAATGTATTTCCTACTTGGTTCTTTGCTCAAAAAAATTTAGGATGTTTTATTTGTATTTGTTTTAAGCATTAGAATATTTATGCAAAGTTTCAATCCATATGGAAAAACCCTCGAAGAAAAAAGTGACAAAATTGATTTTGACTAGGGTCGCCCCTTGTCCAAAATTGAAAATGTATTTCCTACTTGATTCTTTGCTCAAAAAAATTTTAGGATGTTTTATTTGTATTTGTTTTAAGCACTAGAATATTTATGCAAAGTTTCAATCCATTTGGATAAACCCTCGAAGAAAAAAGTGACAAAATTGATTTTGACTAGGGTCGCCCCTAGTCCAAAATTGAAAATGTATTTCCTACTTGGTTCTTTGCTCAAAAAAATTTTAGGATGTTTTATTTGTATTTGTTTTAAGCACTAGAATATTTATGCAAAGTTTCAATCCATTTGGATAAACCCTCGAAGAAAAAAGTGACAAAATTGATTTTGACTAGGGTCGCCCCTAGTCCAAAATTGAAAATGTATTTCCTACTTGGTTCTTTGCTTAAAAATATTTTAGGATGTTTTATTTGTATTTGTTTTAAGCACTAGAATATTTATGCATAGTTTCAATCCATTTGTATAAACCCTCAAAGAAAAAAAGTGACAAAATTGATTTTGATTAGGGTCGCCCCTAGTAGGGTTTGGGGAATCTGTTAACAGAAAACAGAAAAACAGCTGTTTTTCGACAAAAATCTGTTAACAGAAAACAGGTCTCAAAAACAGATCTGTTTTCTGTTTTTCATTTTTACATAAAATTTACAGAAAAAAAAATTTATTAATTTTTTGAAGAACTTAATATATTTTTCTAGCATTTCAAATTGAAATGTATTTACTATGTACTTTAATATTTTTTGGATGTTTAATAGGTTTGAAATCATTATCAAATTTATGGTTAATCATTATTAATTTTGCAATCGAAATTTTAAATTTTTTGAACCTTTTGTAACATTTACTAAAGTTTAAAAATATAATCAACAATTTTACAAGATATTTTTTTATTCAGAAAGATTTTTTGAATATTTCAAATAAAATATTAGAGCTTATGGAACTTTTACAATGCAACAATGCAATGTAACTTAAAGGTATAAATTATTTTGGATTTTTTTTTTGCATTTTTATATTTTATTATATTTTTTTAGAGTTAATTAACATAAAAAAATAAGAAATAATAATGCTTAGCTCTAAAATGTATGCTTAACTGCTTATAACCTCCAAAAAGTTTCATTATCTTAGAGAAACACTTAGGATAACTCAGTTTATTTTGAATTCTAGAAAAACAGGAAAACAGCTGTTTTTAAATATCAAAAACCGAAAACAGACTGTTTTTCAAAAACAGCTGTTTTCCACAAATCCTAGCCCCTAGTCCAAAATTGAAAATGTATTTCCTACTTGGTTCTTTGCTCAAAAAAAATTTTTCATCCAAAGTTTAATTTAAAATAAAAAAAAAATCACAGTGAACTTTTAATTTGAAAAATTCGTAAGAAAGGAAAGTTTTTTGCTTTTTTTGAAGGAACCTTTTTCTGTTCCTACCTTGCCCAAAAACAATACAGCTCTTCTATAGAGCAGTACGGATCAAATGTAAAAAACTAGAAGTCTCTACAATGTCTCGTTATTGACATTTCTTGCTGATTAACTTGCTTGCTTGCTTGTTTGCTTACAGAAAGCGTATTTTGCGATTTTCTCAGCAATGCCACAACCAATTTGAAATCTGTTTTTTGAAAATGATGTAAAATTTCAGGCACAAACTTTTCTTCTGTGACCTTTTATAACCAATTTTGCTTTGTTTTCTCACAAAATGCGAAAAACTGATTTTTCAATCTGAACAAAACCAATAGATTCACACGTGAAAACGGTGTGAATATAAAAAAGTATCTTAAAATGCAGTTTATTCACACCGAATTTCCATATCTTGTAATTATTAGAATCGTAATGATTTTTTGTTTTAACGGTTTAAAAGATTTTCATATGGGTTTTGTAATCAAATTATAGAGCAATAAAGGACATATTAAATGTTAATAAAGTGAGTAGATCTGATGAGGGAAAAAAGCGTTCAAAATGGTGTGAATATGAAAATAAAGTCTTTTAAGCCTTCTTTAAAAGTTATTTCGTATAAATTAATAATATAAGAAAATCAATAAATTAATCAATTGCTGATATTATAATTAGCATAAACTTTATTCTTATAATGCTTGAAAGTTTCATGATAAAGACATAGTGGTTAAAATCAAATGTAGTAAAAAAATTGACTATGAATTTTTATAAATATTTTCTTATTATTCTTTGTTTTGCAGAAAGCAGCTGAAACATGCACGGCGTGAAACGAGTTTTGGCCTTTTGTTGTTTGGTAGCAATAGTTCCAACAGTCTTGATTATTTGTCCGCTCTATTTAAAGCATGAAGTATTTAAGGATACAATTTATTCAGTAGCTGAGTCAGATGTTTTGGAAGTACGTCAGGGAATCTCATCAATTTTTTGTCAAGAGCATGTTCTTAAAATGAATACCACGTTCAGTGCATTTCAACTTCGTAAGATGCCAATCGAGTCAAAAACAAGGAAGCATATAAGACTTAAAAAATCCATGATAGTTCCTGATGACACATTGGAGTATTGGGGTTTCTATTTGGGTCAAGGTTCGACCGTTGAATTAAAAGTTTGTTCACTTTTAGAAGGCTCAAGATTACTCGTAGTAAAAGGTGAAAGGAATTTGAGAACTTGTGGATTATTAGAACATAACAAAAATAAATTCGGAATCGCATACAATGCTGAAAAATCACAAGTTAAAGTAACATTCGAAACTGCAGCAGAGATTGTTGACCCTGATATAATAACGCGAGAAGAAAATACACATCTGTCATCTAAAGAGAAATCTTCTCCTCTTTTTGACGATGAATCAATGTTTGATAATGCGGCAGAAGAGTTTGACGATGAAGTACTTAAGAAAAAGAAAAATTATGGCTCGTTAAATTATTTAAAGAATGAGAAAAATTCGATACAAAATGATAATGATGACAAAAATCTCATATCAGAAGATCTGAAAATTAAAACAAAATCAAATGATGCAAATGAAATTAAAAGTCATGCAAAACGTCACTTTAATTCACATAATAAGAAAACTACACAAAGGCAATCGTCTAATATAAACAACAATAGCAATATCCGAACAAAACGTGACACTATTTTAGATAGAGGAATTAATCACGGTGGAAATGCTCAAAGCTACCGACCAAAAAATCAGTCTGACTCAATTTCTAGCTTTGAGAACTCATTACTTGAGTGCTTTGATGGGCAAATTTTGGTCGCAAAGTATTTTCCACCATCCAAAAACTGTAATAGTGTCAAATATTTGGAGCAAGGAGCTCACCTAGTTAGTAAGCACGATGTTAGCACAAATGGATATTATTATTATATATTTTTCTCAGATAACGATGATGCCTTTAATCACATTCATGCAGTTTTTGACATTTTTAAGCCCACTTACCTATATTCAAATATATCTGAAACCAAAGGGTGCATAAATTTAACATACTGTAATTTTAAGGTACAAATGTTTTCTGATGAAGTTGTTATTGTCGAGGTTCCCACAAGAGATGGCATTGAGCATGAAGATGATGATATATCTCTGTTGGTTTCTCAATGTACGCCAAGAATGAGCGTTTACATCATTTTTCCCATTTTAGTTATTTTATTTATATTAGGTTGTGCGTTTATATAAGAATAGTTTAATCAAATATTTTGATAATCATTATAAGTACAAATTTAAAAGACCAATGAAGAAGCCAACTTTTCTAATCTTTATGCAAACTTTATAATTAATTAGGTCCTCAGATAATTTTGAACTGATTTTTACATGCTCATTTGGTGCAGTCTTACCCGATAATCATTTACTATAGTTTTAAAATTTATTTTGTAAATTTTTTTATTTAAACAGATTTTAATAATTTGTTAAATAAACTCAAATGAAGCTTTCAGCTCAAAAGAATACAACCATTCCAGCTCAAAAATCTGTTGAATTTACAAACTAGAAAATATAAAAAATAAACCTTTTTTCAAATAAAAACTAAGTTTTAATTTAGGTATTTTATTGCTCCATTTACAATGAATTATTGAATCTGAGCTGCAAAATCGTAATCTAGGACAAAGGACGTACAGGAAATCTATAGCCCAAAATTAATCAAATGTAGCTTGCTGAACGACTTGCTTACTGATTCTCGTGAGCTAGTGCTAAAGATTTATGTTGCAATAACGAATTAGTGGTTTTTTTTTACAGAGGGCGAAGTCGACTCGAAATTTGTATAAATTCGAGTGAACTCAAGTCGACTTTTCCATACAAAATTCGAGTCGACTTCGCCCTCTGGTTTTTTATATTCACACAGTTTTCACGTGTGAATCTATTGGTTTTGTTCAGATTGAAAAATCAGTTTTTCGCATTTTGTGAGAAAACAAAGCAAAATTGGTTATAAAAGGTCACAGAAGAAAAGTTTGTGCCTGAAATTTTACATCATTTTCAAAAAACAGATTTCAAATTGGTTGTGGCATTGCTGAGACAATCGCAAAATATGCTTTCTGTAAGCAAACAAGCAAGCAAGCAAGTTAATCAGCAAGAAATCTCAATAACGAGACATTGTAGAGACTTCTAGTTTTTTTACATTTGATCCGTACTGCTCTATAGAAGAGCTGTATTGTTTTTGGGCAAGGTAGGAACAGCCGTTGCTTCAGAAAAAACAAAAAACTTTCCTTTCTTACGAATTTTTCAAATTAAAAGTTCACTGTGATTTTTTTTATTTTAAATTAAACTTTGGATGAAAAAAAAATTTTTTTGAGCAAAGAACCAAGAAGGAAATACATTTTCAATTTTGGACTAAGGGCGACCCTAGTCAAAATCAATTTTGTCACTTTTTTTCTTTGAAACTTTATACTATTTTAAATTAAACTTTGGATGAAAAAAAAATTTTTTTGAGCAAAGAACCAAGAAGGAAATACATTTTCAATTTTGGACTAAGGGCGACCCTAGTCAAAATCAATTTTGTCACTTTTTTTCTTTGAAACTTTATACAAATGGATTGAAACTTTGCATAAATATTTTAGTGCTTAAAACAAATACAAATAAAACATCCTAAAATTCTTTTGAGCAAAGAACCAAGTAGGAAATACATTTTCAACTTTGGACTAAGGGCGACCCTAGTCAAAATCAGTTTGTCACTTTTTTCTTCCAGGGTTTATACAAATGGATTGAAACTTTGCATAAATATTCTAGTGCTTAAAACAAATACGAATAAAACATCCTAAAATTTTTTTGAGCACAGAACCAAGTAGGAAATACATTTTCAATTTTGGACTAGGGGCGACCCTAGTCAAAATCAATTTTGTCACTTTTTTTCTTTGAAACTTTATACAAATGGATTGAAACTTTGCATAAATATTTTAGTGCTTAAAACAAATACAAATAAAACATCCTAAAATTCTTTTGAGCAAAGAACCAAGTAGGAAATACATTTTCAACTTTGGACTAAGGGCGACCCTAGTCAAAATCAGTTTGTCACTTTTTTCTTCCAGGGTTTATACAAATGGATTGAAACTTTGCATAAATATTCTAGTGCTTAAAACAAATACGAATAAAACATCCTAAAATTTTTTTGAGCACAGAACCAAGTAGGAAATACATTTTCAATTTTGGACTAGGGGCGACCCTAAGCTTTCTCGATTTCCCGGGAATTCCCGGGAAGTCTCGACTTTAAAAACTACTTAAAATTTCGCTGAAAGTAATTAAAAAACACTTAGAACATGTAGATTACGTCTATTTGTTATTGAACTTCTGGATATATTCCTTGTTATGCGATCAGTCAAACTAATTTTATTGTCTTAATACTAATATAAAATATAAAAGAAATACGAAATACGTAATGATAAAAGAAAAGCATAATGATAAGAAAGTGTGTCCCTATTAAAACTATTCTGGGTTTTGGAAATGACTTTTCACAAAAACGATAGCATTTAAGTTTTTGTTAAGCAATCGCTTCCTTTGCTTGGTCAAAACATTATTGCTGATTGAAAAATTACGTTCACTCTGGGTAGATGTTGGTTGAATGCTTAGCAGTGCATTATACAGCTGATTTAATAACGGAGTTTTGACTTTATTTCTCTCATACCATGAAAACTCGCGTTTTAAGTTTTCATTAATGTTTCGAGTACTAGGCTCATTTGATGTAAATTGCATCAAGCTTAACTTCAAACGATCTCGAAGAGAATTTTGTTGTAATTGAGTAACTTGAGAGTTGGAAGTTGACTGAACTTAAAACTTTTACTAATAATTAATTTATTATTGATATTTATTCACAAAAATTGGATAGGTAACTGTAAGATTAACTACAAACTGTGATGGGAAAAATTCTAAAATTATCATTTTTACTTAAATTTTTTTCTTCTCTAGTCTCGGGTCTCGGTCTCGGAAAATTCTCGAGACCGAGACGAGATCGAGACCGAGACTTCCCGGGAAGTCTCGGTCTCGATTTCGTCATCAGGAAAGCATAGGCGACCCTAGTCAAAATCAGTTTGTCACTTTTTTCTTCGAGGGTTTATCCAAATAGATTGAAACTTTGCATAAATATTCTAATGCTAAAAACAAATACAAATAAAACATCCCAAAATTTTTTTGAGCAAAGAACTAAGTAGGAAATACATTTTCAATTTTGGACTAGGGGCGACCCTAGTCAAAATCAGTTTGTCACTTTTTTCTTCGAGGGTTTATCCAAATAGATTGAAACTTTGCATAAATATTCTAATGCTAAAAACAAATACAAATAAAACATCCTAAAATTTTTTTGAGCAAAGAACTAAGTAGGAAATACATTTTCAATTTTGGACTAGGGGCGACCCTAGTCAAAATCAGTTTGTCACTTTTTTCTTCGAGGGTTTATACAAATGGATTGAAACTTTGCATAAATATTCTAGTGCTTAAAACAAATACGAATAAAACATCCTAAAATTTTTTTGAGCACAGAACCAAGTAGGAAATACATTTTCAATTTTGGACTAGGGGCGACCCTAGTCAAAATCAGTTTGTCACTTTTTTCTTCGAGGGTTTATCCAAATAGATTGAAACTTTGCATTAATATTCTAGTGCTTAAAACAAATACAAAATAAAACATCCTAAAACGTTTTTGAGCAAAGAACCAAGAAGGAAATACATTTTCAATTTTGGACTAGGGGCGACCCTAGTCAAAATCAATTTTGTCACTTTTTCTCTTCGAGGGTTTATACAAATGGATTGAAACTATGCATAAATATTCTAGTGCTTAAAACAAATACAAAATAAAACATCCTAAAACGTTTCTGAGCAAAGAACCAAGAAGGAAATACATTTTCAATTTTGGACTAGGGGCGACCCTAGTCAAAATCAATTTTGTCACTTTTTTTCTTTGAGAGTTTATCCAAATGGATTGAAACTATGCATAAATATTCAAGTGCTTCAAACAAATACAAATAAAACATCCAAAAATTTTTTTTGAGCAAAAACCAAGAAGGAAATACATTTTCAATTTTGGACTAGGGGCGACCCTAGTCAAAATCAATTTTGTCACTTTTTTTTTCAAAGGTTTATACAAATGGATTGAAACTTTGAATAAATATTCTAGTGCTTAAAACAAATACAAATAAAACATCCTAAAATATTTTTGAGCAAAGAACCAAGAAGGAAATACATTTTCAATTTTGGACTAGGGGCGACCCTAGTCAAAATCAATTTTGTCACTTTTTTTTCGAGGGTTTATACAAATGGATTGAAACTTTGCATAAATATTCTAGTGCTTAAAACAAATACAAATAAAACATCCTAAAATTTTTTTGAGCAAAGAACCGAGTAGGAAATACATTTTCAATTTTGGACTAGGGGCGACCCTAGTCAAAATCAATTTTGTCACTTTTTTCTTCGAGGGTTATACAAATGGATTGAAACTATGCATAAATATTCTAGTGCTTCAAACAAATACAAATAAAACATCCTAAAATTTTTTTGAGCAAAGAACCAAGTAGGAAATACATTTTCAATTTTGGACTAGGGGCAACCCTAGTCAAAATCAGTTTTGTCACTTTTTTTCTTTGAGGGTTTATCCAAATGGATTGAAACTATGCATAAATATTCTAGTGCTTAAAACAAATACAAATAAAACATCCTAAAATTTTTTTGAGCAAAGAACCATGTAGGAAATACATTTTCAATTTTGGACTAGGGGCGACCCTAGTCAAAATCAATTTTGTCACTTTTTTCTTCGAGGGTTTATACAAATGGATTGAAACTATGCATAAATATTCTAGTGCTTAAAACAAATACAAATAAAACATCCTAAAATTTTTTTGAGCAAAGAACCTTGTAGGAAATACATTTTCAATTTTGGACTAGGGGCAACCCTAGTCAAAATCAGTTTTGTCACTTTTTTTCTTTGAGGGTTTATCCAAATGGATTGAAACTTTGCATAAATATTCTAGTGCTTAAAACAAATACAAATAAAACATCCTAAAATTTTTTTGAGCAAAGAACCACGTAGGAAATACATTTTCAATTTTGGACTAGGGGCGACCCTAGTCAAAATCAATTTTGTCACTATTTTCTTCGAGGGTTTATACAAATGGATTGAAACTATGCATAAATATTCTAGTGCTTCAAACAAATATAAATAAAACATCCTAAAATTTTTTTGAGCAAAGAACCAAGTAGGAAATACATTTTCAATTTTGGACTAGGGGCAACCCTAGTCAAAATCAGTTTTGTCACTTTTTTTCTTCGAGGGTTTATACAAATGGATTGAAACTATGCATAAATATTCTAGTGCTTAAAACAAATACAAATAAAACATCCTAAAATATTTTTGAGCAAAGAACCAAGTAGGAAATACAT